ACACGCTCAAAACAGTTGACGCTTCGCGCCAGAAATCGCGGATCACCACCGCGTCGTCGTCCGCGTACGCACAAACCGTGCTCCGAGGCGACTGCTGGCAGATCCGGTGCAAGAGCATATCTGTGGTTAGCACGAAAATCAGAGGTGACAGCGGGCAACCCTGACGCACGCCGCTGGTCATGGAGAAGCCTTCAAACACCTGCCCTTTCAATTTGATCGCGCACGTGTTGTCCCTAAAAAAAACATCGTACGACATTGTATATGAAAGGAGGGACGCCTACAGCATCCAGTGCGGATAGCATAAAAGTCCTGTGATTAACTAGGGAATGCAGCTTCAAAATCAAATAAACTTAAGGTCGCATTCCTTTCCTCGAGGCTGGTCAGCATGCTAGCGTGATCAATTTCACACGCATTCCTGAGGAGGGAACGGCCTCTCAAGAACCCCCGCTGCATGGGAGACACGATTGCGCCAGCGAGAGGCTCCAGCAAGTTCCTGTACGAACTTGCCAAAAGCCTTCGTGAAGACGCTCCTCCTGCCGTGCAGGCCTGGACCCAGCCGCCGACAATTGCTGGCAGAGCCGACGCCGACGCCTACTACAGCACCGACCCGATGATGGACGTCACTGACTCTGTCGTAACGCGTACCCCGTGTCCAGCCACTTCGTGGCGGGACTCGCCTCCCCTAAAGAGGCCTCTGGTCGCTGGTCGCCCAAGCGGCTGCGGCTCATCTGGATGCACCGCACACGGCGGAGGCCGTGTGCACGGCCGAGCGCGAACTTGCTGGAGGTCCACCTGCAGGACTTGGCGCTTGTGCGGCGTACCTGGGCGCTGCTGGATATCTTGCTGCCCCTGTCACGGTCTCCGAGCCCATGGCCGAGCGACTGCGTACTGGCCGCATGCCGGCGCAGCCGCCCGCTCCGCCCGCCGTCGTACCTTCTGAGCCCCTTCGTGCGACGCCGCCGCCGCGACTCTCCGACGCGAGCATGGACAGCAGTCAGGACCCCTGGTACCAGTACTGGACCAGGGTGCCGAGCCGGGAGCTCGGGGAAGCTGCCGCCGCTGCCGGGCCGCATCTCTGCTGCGAGGACGGCCAGGCGACGCGTCTGTTGCGTCAGCTACGCTTGCTGCTGCGCCTGCACCCTCCTCGGCACCTTCGTCATCGACGATCGTTCGTCGTCCCGGGACGTTCAAGCGCGGTGGACTGCAGTGCAGTGGAAGCACGTTGGGCTTCACAAACCTCTTGCTGATCAGGTAGGTTCATGCCGTGCTGTAGCGACTCGCCTCGATCGTGCTGGAGCCGAGGCCCTGTTTCACATGTATGTGCACTGGTGGGTCCGAGCAGAGAAACTTCCCTTTCCCACCAGACACCCCACTTCCTCCGGCATTACGCTGCGACGATGTGCTTGACGATGCTCTCGTGGCCGAGCATCCCTCGGCCCGATTGCCGCAGCCATGGTGGCTCCAGTGGGTACTGGAGAGGTGGAGCTGGATGATGATAAGGAGGAGCCGTCTGCAACGCTTGTCTTGGGGCTGACCGTGATGAGGAGGAGGCGGAGTAGGAGGAATGGGAGTCGGAGGAGGAGTAGGAGGAGGAGGAGGATGAGGCGGAGGAACTGGAGGAGCTGTCTGCAGCGCTTATCTCTCGGCGCTGACCGCGGTCTTAGGCATGAGTCTGCAGCGCTGGCTCCAGCCCCTCTTCTGCTGGCCCCAGACTGTCCTCGTGCGCCCAGAGGGATGACCCTCGCGCTGCGCTTCCTCCGTCGCCTCGTCGCTCGTGCCGCGCTTGGGCGTTACAGTCAACCCGCATGATAAGAAGAACGCACGACAAGGATGCAAGGGGCTTGGAGGGCCGTGTCGGCACTTTGCAAGCGGGGCGCGGCGAAGCGGAAGCGGCCACGGATGGGCCGAAGGGAAAAGATGCAAGGGTAGCCTTGATAAGTCGCTCGTCTTAACTATGCGGGTTGACGGTAAGATCTCTTTTCTCCTCCAGGCCAGCCGAGCTGACACTTGATTCGGCAGAGAGTGGACTGGGCGTCCTCTATCCGACGGTTCGGGCGCCTGCGTGGCCAGGGCAACTCACTGAGGGCCAGCAGGAGTCCCTTGCGTTGTTCTACCGTTGCTCTCCTTCCCTATGTAGCTGCTCGTCCACTTCCCAGCTGCTTACGCCGCCGCCGTCATACAGTACTCTGCTTGCTTACTTGGTGCCCGCTCGGAATTTAGGTTGGACCATTTATAATGACAGTTGCAGCGCAGCCATTTTGCTGACAGGCCATCAGCTTCATCAGCCTTGCAATCAAAAATATCATCCTCCTCCTCCTGCTCCGCCTCCTCCTCCTCCTCCCTCCCTCCCTCCCTCCCTCCCTCCCTCCCTCGCTCCTCCTCCTCCTCCTCCTCCTTCTCCTCCTCTTCCTCCTCCTCCTCCCTCATTCCCTCCCTCCCTCCCTCCCTCCCCCCTCCTCCTCCTCCTCCTCCTCCTCCTCCTCCTCCTCCTCCTCCTCCTCGTCCTTCTCCTCCTCCTTCTCCTCTTCCTCCTCCTTCTCATCCTTCTCCCTTTGCGGTCCCTGGGTGGTGAGGAGTCTACCCCTTCCCAGGTCACAGTTTCGGGGGGTCGACCAGCTTCATGGCGTCACTTTCGTCTTTAAGGACCAAGACGGTACGTGCAGAGGACATTGCGAAAACCAGGCTGCTCACTCATCTTGGATTTCGCTATATCCACCCAGCGCCTATGAAACGACTCCTTTGAGCGAAGCAACAAAATAGTCTAAACGCGTGCAAGTGGCTGTGCAGTTCGAACCACGACCGCTGCTCAAAATCAATGCCAAGGCAACTCGGCCTGCCCACAGCAGATGGCAATCGGAGCCATGACGATCACCAGCTTGGGATGATGTGACACGTTGATGGCTGCAGAACATAATCAGCCTGACAAAAAACCTAACCATATGCAGCTGCGAATCACGCAGGGTATGACCCCCCCCCCTCGTAGGTAGCGCGCCGCGAGAAGAGATGGGGTACGGCATATGCGGATGGGGGCCGCGAGCCGTGAGGGATGTGCCGAAATAGGCGGCGGGGCCGCATGCAAACGCTGCCACAGAAGCCTTCGGTGCTCCCTATGAGGCCACGAAGCGTGTGAGGGGCGTGCCGAAATGGGCGGAGGGGAACGCATACGAGCGCTGCCACAGGAACCTTGGGTGGAGCTCCTTATATGAGGCCACGGATCGTGTGAGGGGTATGCCAAAATGGGCGGCGGGGACGCGTGCGACCCCCGGGGGCGCTCTGTCGGCGCTGTCTGTCCAAAACGAGGACCCAATACCACAAGATGGCTGTGGGGAAGAAGACGTAAAGCAAACGCTAACATCTCCTCAATGTGTTGACTCTATGCTGTAATCTGTCCGCCACGGCGACTGTTCCTCCTTGTTTTCGCGATGCTTTGAATGCCTCGGTGCACCTTGACGCTGTGAGCGTAGAAAGCATGCCATGAGTCTCTGACCGACTGGACCCGAGCTGCGAAGAGAAGCAGCCGTGGTCATTGCAGAGGCAGCGTAGACCTGCGGCAAGGACAGCCTGGATCAGTAAGAATGGTCCACCAGCGCGTTCCACGCTGATTGCGATTACGTTTGATTATCCCAGTGCGACCCTACCTAGGAGTTGGAGCCCCTAGGAAAGCAGCATTAGTAGTAACAGTAAAGCTAAGCTAAAGCTAAGCTACAGCTAAGCTACAGCTAAGCTAAAGCTAAGCTAAAGCTACGCTAAAGCTAAGCTAAATCTAAGCTAAAGCTAAGCTAATGCTAAGCTACAGCTAAGCTAAAGCTAAGGCTAAAGCTAAGCTAAAGCTAAGCTAAAGCTGAGCTACAGCTGAGCTACAGCTAAGCTAAAGCTAAGCTAAAGCTAAGGCTAAAGCTAAAACTAAGCTGAAGCTAAGCTAAAGCTAAGCTAAAGCTAAGCTAACGCTAAGCTAACGCTAAGATGAAGCTAAGCTAAAGCTGAGCCAACCCTAAACTAAAGCTAAGCTAAAGCTAGCTAAAGCTAAGCTAAAGCTACGCTAAAGCTAAGCTAAAGCTAAGATAAAGCTAAGCTAAAGCTAAGCTAAAGTTAAGCTAAAGCTAAGCTAAAGCTAAGCTAAAGCTAAGCTAAAGCTAAGCTAAAGCTAAAGCTAAAGCTAAAGCTCCCAGGGGACTGGGGGAACCGCGGGGCGGGGACTGGGGGAACCGCCCGGGGCGCTTTCCACTGCCCGGCCCCTTTAAGCTAAGAGAGTAAGAGCCCTCTAGGCAGAGCCTAGGTAGGGAAAAAGATGCGAGGCATGTCATGCTGCCGACGACCTTCCCGTCCAGGTAGGCCTTGCCTTCCATGCACACCGGACACGCGCCAGCGGCAGCTGAGAAGCCGGTGACGTCGAACCTGCCAGGTGCCCTTGTGAATTGATGCGTAAGGGACGTGGCATGTACTATTCGGTGTGAGGTATGGGCCATGAGCCTTTCCTGTTCGCAGCAGATCTCCTCTTCCGGGATCCCACGTGCTCCCCCACCTCTCCCTTCGGAAATAATGCCCAGGTCAGCCCCTCCAAGGCACCCCCTACAGTTTCCAGTCCGACGCCTCCAAGGCACCCCCTTCAACGAGGAGGAGCCCACCCATCTCCGAGAGCCCCCTCGCGGTGCCAGGAAGAACTGTTATTAAGCATTCGCAGTTTTCTGCTCGCACCAGACCCTCCCCCCCACCCCCACAAATGGGCCGTCCGCACTAATCTCGGGGACGCGCTGACCTGGGCCAGCGCTAACCCTGGCCTGCCAGGACGGCCACGTCGGGAAGCGGACCAGCCTCGAAGCAGCCCCCAAGGCCTGGGCCGGCGGAGTGAAGGCAGGGTCGCACCTGTTGGGCCGAATCGATCGGTGGTGGCCCCGGGGCCCGAAGCAGGGCGAAGACGCCCCGTGTGCAAAAAATGCCAACGCCCAAATCTCCAAGCACCTGCGCCCCGACAGCCCCCGAACCGTCCGGCCCCACGGCGCCTTCTTCAGGTGGATGTCAGGTAGCTTGTGCTTCGCGGACAGGTTCGCGAGCTCGAAGGCGTGCTGGAAGTTGCTGTGCTCGACGGCGTAGTCGATGGCGATTTCTATGAGACCGTGCTTGGCCAGGAGCTGTGCGCCAGCCTGGCCGGCTGGCCATGCCCCGCTGCTCATCCTCCTTCTCGTCCGTTTCTGCCTCCTCCTCCTCCTCCTTCTCATCCTCCGCCTCCTCCTGCTCCGCCCCCTCCCTCCTCCTCCTTGTCTTTCTCTTCCACGAAATCATCCTCATCCTCGTCCTGGTCCTCCTCCGATCCTCATCCTCGTCCTGGTCCTCCTCCGCATCCTCGTCCTCATCCTCATTGTCATCGTCATCATCATCACCATCATCATCATCATCATCATCATCATCATCATCAGCAGCAGCACGATCATGACCATGACCCACATTATCACCATAATACGAATCGTCATCGTCATCGTCGTCGTCAGCATCACCGTCGTCGCCGAATCATCACCATCAGCATCATCACCATCAACAGCAAAAACAACAACAGCATCATCATCAATATCAACATCATCATCATCATATCATCATCATCATCATCTTCATCATCATCATCATCATCATCATCATCATCATCATCTTCATCATCATCATCAGCATCGTCATCATCATCATCATCAGCAGCACCATCATCATCACCACTATCATCGCCAAAATCAGAATCAACATCATCATCAACGTCATCATTTTCGTCATGCGCATCCTCATCCACATCCTCATCCTCATCATCATCATCATCATCATCATCATCATCATCATCATCATCATCATCATTATCTCCAGCAGCAACATCCTCACCAGCGTTGATGTCATCAGCGTCGGCATCATCATAATCATCATCATGATCGTTGTCGTCGTCATCGGCGTAAGCACCGCCATCACCATCGTCACAGTCATCGTCGTCATCATCACAATCGTCATCATCAGCAACAACACCACCGTCGTCGTCATCGTTGCCATCGTCATCACGATCGTGGCCCTTTGGCGGTTCTGCTGCGGGCGTCCCCGCTGGAGATGGTGATGCAGGTTCCCCCGCCCAGGGGGCTTCTGGATCGTCTTGCGAAGGCGGATCGTTTGGCTTGAAAAGTGGCGCGTTCTTGATCCTGGCCCCAGGTTTGCAGCCCAGATCGCATTTGCCAGCGGTAATTCTTCGCAGGGCAGGGGTAGTTATCCAGCCGATTTCTCTGCAATTGTAATGAACTGTCGAACCTGGGGCAAGATCCATGTCTGCTGTTACCCGTTTGGAGACATCTGTGTGTGCTCGTCTTGTTGGAGCTGTCAGTCTCGCAAGTGCAATCCGACTCGGACTCAGAATCGGACTCGGAAGGGGCGGCGACGGTAGGACCCACCGCTTCAGCAAGAGCCGGATTACCAGCTCCCTCATCACCCTCTGGAAGGCCATGAGACGAAGGAGCGGGTTCGCACGCGTTGTCTCAGACGCCTCTCCATGGAATTCTCGACTGTATATCTAGAGGCGGTGATTACTGTCGAGGTGCTGCCAAAATGGCTCGATCCGTTTAGCCTCGCCCTCCGTAGTCGGCTGGTAATCAGCTTTGGTCGAACATTCTGCGGGGGAAGGATTGGTCGGATCCACCCTGCGACCCAGACTATCTCCATGAGACCAGACCCACGGTGTCCACTCAAAATTAAGGCCCCTTGATGGTCGCCCCATCGGACGCGCGGGTCTGTGTTCGCAAGGGCAGACAACGCACCGGTAGGTACCTCGGTCACCAATGATGGCCCTCTCGACTTCCCTTCTCTCAAGAATGGAGGCCGCCTTGGTGCCCCTGCCCCTGTTGGCGCGAACGATCCTGCCATCGTCACCGCGAGCAACATTGCGGAGTGAGTACCAGTGACGGATGTCATGTTCGGTCCAGCCTTGGTCGAACCAGCACTGCATCGCGTTGGGGCGCATATACTGGCGAGCCAGCCCATGATCTTCATAGCTGACAAGGCGCTGCACGCCTCGTGCTTCGGGCTCAGCTGGGCGGCCCTCAATCTGAAGCGTTTTTTCCCCCGCGAACGCTCCCTTCTCGGCGGAGCTCTTGGGATCCTTGCGTCAGGAGAGCGAGGGCGCTGCGCGCCGCGGGAGCGAGCGCGCGAGTGCCCGCGTGAGTAACTCCGACCGTGACGCCGCGGGCGATGACTCTCAACTTTCCATTTGTCTTCGTCGTCATCTGTGCGAATCACCCGTCTCCATGCTGGGCGGCTCGTGAACCCGCCACGCACCGCGAACGTGAAGTGCGGGCCTCGTCGCGCCCAAGTTCGCATTGGATGCGCCCGGAAAGATCACCAACATTTCGCGGGCTTCCCCGAAGAGGGTCGTTGTCGTATAATTCTCTGTCTATCGGATTGACAATGACCTGCGGGTGGGGCATCAATGATATCTCCTCCTCTGTCGCCGGAATAATGGCTTCAGAATCCGCGGGCGCCCCCGCCATGTCGTGGTCTACCTCGGCGGGCGCGCGGAAATCCTCCACGAACCCGATTTGCGCAGGTTGCCCCGCGATGGGCATGCCCATCCAGTCCGCCAGGTTGATCTCATCGCGGCCGACGCACATCTCCTCGAAGAGCTCGTCGGCATATCTCTCGAAGGACACGCTGGCACTTAGATGCCTGGCGGGGACAGCGGCAGCGGGGGTGTCTGCAGGGTCGGCTACTGGCGTGTCCCAATGGACATTCTGCATGTCCGAATCGGTTTGAGCCGAATGCATTCATTGACGGACTCCCTGCGTCTCCCATCGCCGCGGGGGCATTCACGACGGAAATGTTGCGTGCTATGGCAGATGTCACGTTCCATGGTTGTACCGTTGGCATATTTCGGGTTGCCCCGGCGTCCCTTGCCATTTCCTGAGTTATGCCTACGGCCTCTACCTGCCCCCAGGAATCGTTCTTCGTACTGTGGTCCAGTAAGGGATGCCAGGAATGCCAGCATTCCTCTACCATGCAGTCGCCGTCAAATGCCCTTACCCTTGCCTCAGCCCTTACCCTTCACTCTGAATGCCCTTCGGATAACGCGCCGTGCCTTACGAAATGGTTTCTTCATAAGACTTATCCATCGGCGCTTATGTTTCTGGTATCCTAGCAATAGCCGTTGTGACTGTTGCTCTTCTGTGACGTACGCAGGCATGTCGGAATAGTCTAGGCAGCCATTCTGTCGTCATATGACGTGTCGGTGTCGGTTCCAGGGTCAAAGTCAAACTCGGCGGGCTGCCCCGCTGAGCCTACAAGGGCAGTGGCTTGCGTAGGGGCCGCCGTTGCCGACGGTCCCTGATATCTAGTCCAGGAGTCTTGCGACCCCGGAGGCGGACCACCACTGTGGGCGAATAGGGTGGTGGTATCTGCCGGTTGTGGATCATCATTCCAGACGTTTGTAGCAGGTTGCCCTGCATTAGTTTCAGTATGAAAGGTTTCGGCACGGTGACCGTGGGGAAAAAGACCACCAATATTGCCAGGGGTTCGCTCGGCGATGTGGACATATGATTTCATGCGTTCCAGTAGAGCACCAGGCACGTCTCTCTCGAGCGAATTCGCGGAAAAAGGTACCTCACCGGCAGGGTCCCAGTGGGGGCCGGTTGTTTTTGCGTTGTTTCCACCGCGCTGCATGCGCCCCACACGCCCGATATCGACACACAGAAGGCCAAAAATAACAATACCAATCCAGTGGCACCGTAGGTCGTGGTCGGACATTCGCGGCTGGGGGTTGTGGTGTTTCGTCGTAAACCTGCGCGGGGATGGAAGCGGCGCAATGTCGTATCGCATGTTGCCATGCATGGCGTTTCCGAAATAGTCTCCAATTGGAATAGGTGGGTGGCTTTCAGGAGTGTAGCACCGCAGGGAAATTGGACTCTTGTAAGACGCCTCCGCGACGCCGGAAATAGCGCTGCACGTGTCTTTGTCGTTGTGCGTAGTTATATACATTCCTCCGCGCAGACCCACTGCATCCTGATGTTCCACCATGTCAGTCGTCCTCCAGATAGTGTTGTGGATGATGAGGAGTACACCAGGAGCTGACCACCATAGGCCAGCTCCGCTGCCAAGTTTGACAAGGGTGGGGAGGCCCAACCAGCAGCTTCGCCTAAGTCGAAGCCCATATCCAACTCTGTTGTACCGTAGTAACGATAGTCCCAAAAGTAGACGATCGTCGCGGGAGCGACGGGCCATCTCAAGCGAAAATGTTTTCGGTCTCGATGGCAAAAATTGTGCCTCGCGATGAGGCGCAGTCATATGTTGGCGGCCGGCCGCTTGAACACAAACGGCCGCGGACAAACGATCGTTATCTCTCGCCTTTGCCCCAGCTCCCTTTAGAGTACCTGGCCGTCTGAAAAATCTTCGAAGCCTTCCCCGAAGACACAAAAGACTTCTCAGAAGGCCGCCTTATGAGAAGGCCTCCTCCTTCTCACTTCCCCCCTGGCTCGCCGCCGAATGAAAGGCGAGATGCTCAGTAGCGTTGGGATGTTACTGTTCGCCACCGCTGGCCTAGCCCCCGTGCGCCGCCGGCGCACTGGCCAGCCCTGCCGACCCTGGTTGCGCCACGGGCCCAGACTAACCCCAGACATCCAGCGGCTCGACGCTGCCTGGGCATGGACCCTGGACCTCTCGATCCTATCCCGCCGTCGAAGAATTGATCTCGGTGCACATCTTGGAAATGTCACACGATCGGCGATCATATCCGTACTCGCGCCATCCTGGTCTGGACTCCGGGGCGCGATCCCGCGGATACGCGCTCGCACGGATGCTTTCTGCGAGGGGCATCCGCGAAAAACATCCCGTATCCGCGGGGTCACGGTCCATGGTCCCGGCCCTCGAGGCCGCGGATACGGATAGGCTTTCGCACACGAGTATTACGGGTTATTCCACAGATCTTGCGCACGTGAAACACATAAACACGACACACAGAAAGTGATCGGAAAACAAGGTGTAATGCAAGAGCCATATTTTGACGAAGAAGCTTACTGCTTCGCTTCCCTTCGATGTCCTGGGATCTCTGGGCGCAGAAGACGGCGAAGAACTTCTGCACGAGTCGCTCGAGGCGCTGGAGGTCAGGGCCCTTCCCCGGCGAATTCAACCCTAAGGTCTGTCCAGGAGCGCTCTCGGGCCAGGATCTGGAGGGGACTCCAGCCCTGGGCGACGAGAAGCCTCCCGAAAGTCCAGATCGGACGAAAAACGCCCACCCGAACCCGAAAAGCTCGATCCGCGGTCCGCGAAAATGGAAGAGAAACATGAACCACTGTCACCGAGAAGCCAGGGGGTGGGGGGGATCCACCACGATGGTCCATGTTTGTCCCAAAAAAACTCCAGCGCGAGTTGGTCGAGACACCGGACCTACTTCTGTTCGGCTGGCTGGCGGGTTGGGAGGAGCGGCCTCCGCGCCAGACTCCTTGAAGGTGGCGTGGGCCTGCGCAAGGACCACCTGGGCTTGCGGGAGCTCTCGGCGAGAGAGCGGCTCAGGGAGGCGAGGGAAGCTGGGCGAGGGAGGAGGAGAGGCAAGGAGGAGAGCGGGAGGGGGGGAAGCAGGGAGGGAGGGACTGCAGAGTAGGAGGGTGACGACGACGATGAGGAGAATGAGGATGAGGACGAGGAGGAGGAAACAAGACAAGAAAAGCGCTCCGAGGAAACTCTGATCGACTAAACTACCACGATGTACTCTAGATTCGGAAGAAAATCCCACAGGGGACTTGAAAGCGGGGCGAGGTGGACTCTCGGAGCATCGCCGAAAGCTAGCGTCCCGCCCCGAGGACCCGCCAGGGGCACGCGTTACCCAAGACGGGGCCCAGCGAAGAGTAGGGAGGGCGACGCGACAACGAAGGGGGACGAGCTACGGCCCCAGGACCGCAGGAGGACTCGGAGGTCGGGGGAAAGGTTTACTCTTCGCTCGAACTCATCCCTCGCGAGTCGAACTATATGAGCACTGTGAACAATCCTCCATGCTGGGACCCCCTGGGAAAAATCTGACGATGTTTAAAACATTCTCTAACACATTTTGAATCAGGGGCCTCCCGTCGTCTACCGACCCACTCAGAAGATTCGGGGGGCCTAGTTCTCCAAGCACGAGTCGGCCTTGAGGTCTAGGTGGGAGGTGCCGACGCCGTCGGTCTCGGCGCAGGCGGGGGGGGGGGCCGAAGCCGTCGGCCTCGGAGTCTGAATCCCACCAGCCCTCTGGGCGTCGGTTGTTTAGAGCATTTCCTCTTCCACCCCTCCTTCTTCCCTTTCGGGGAGGGGTTTACCCCTGCCCCTACCCCCTCCCCACTGACCTGGACAAGGGGGGGCGGGGAGCGGTCAGAGCGTCCAAAACGGCCTCGCCGAGGAAGCCAACATCATTGATTTTACCCAGGTTTTGGCCCCATTTTGGCCCCCGATTTCCTCCAAGATGGCCCCAAGAAGCGCCCAGGAGGCACCAAGAGGCCCCAAGATGGCCCCAAGATGGCCCCAAGAGGCCCCAGGAGGCCCCCAAGAGGATCCCAAACGGCCCAAAGAGGCCCCCCCGAGGCACCCAAGACGCCGAAAAAACCCTCAGGACGACCCTCTACTCGCCTGGGCGTCGTTTCTGGACGGGCTGGTGGGGATACGCGAAGCATCTAGAATTGAGAGCGGTCTCGTAGCCGTCGTCGAGGGCCTCGGAGCAGTCGCGGTCGGGCTCGGAACTGTAACGCCCGTACCCACAAAAGAAATCCGAGCCGAGGCATCATCAGGCAGCTGAAAGTCCGCTTCCATCGACCCATCGCTCTGCACCACAACATATCGCCATTTCCCTGATCTGCCACTGCACCCTTCACGCCATCGGTCTGCGTCGCACTCGGAAGGCTGAGTGGACGCGCGGCAGCATGAAGAAATCGACTCAATGTCGTGAAAACTTCCAGCCAGTCCTGCAGCTCGCGCTCCGCGCGGCTGACTGGTGCGCGCCCCTGCTTCCATTCCGCCCCCGTCTGGACCATAGGGTCGATGATGCACTGACGGATATCTGGGTGCAGGTTGAGTATGAGCTTGCGCTTGCTGACGTCGCGGCAACGGTCCATCTTGCAGAATTTGATAATGTCACACCGCTTGGCCATGTCCCAGGTCTACATGATCTGCTTCATATCCACGATCTGCTTGGCGCCGGCGGCCCCCACCGCCTCTTTGCGCTGAAGTAGCGCCGCGCGGGGCCGCCGAAAACCCGCGGGCGTTGGGGGCCGCGCGCATGGCCTTTGCCCGATGCGGTGACGGCCTCGTTGTATTTCAGTCCTTCGGCGCCCATCCGGATGGCCCCCTGACCGGCGCCGTCGAGAATCAAGCAGTCGAACACTACGCCCTCGACGCTGCGCTTGGATTGGCCAAGCTGGAGGATGAACTCCAGCATCGGTGCCTGCAGAGCCTTCTGGGCGCCCTTGAAACCGAGGTCGGGCTTGGCGCGCTGGCCGTCGCCCTTGGCGTTCACTCTCCGCGGCTGCTGAGCCAGCGCCTGCGGCGCGTTGGCCCCGCCCTCGGCAGGGAACATCGCTGTCGCGACTCGCCGGGGCCCCCGTCTGCAGGCCACTGCGCCCTTGACCTCGCGCTCGCGGAGAAACTGCGGCAGGCGGAGGGCGAGGGGGGCGGCGTGACATGACGCGATCGCAATACTCGTCAATCGCGTCGAATATGATATCGCAATACAAGCGTCCACTGTCACTCGGGGGCACAAGAAGCCATCGGAAGGAAGTCCGACCCGTTCGGCAAATTCGACTATCCCACGCCGTGCGAAAACGTTGACGAGCGCTGTCTTGTGCAGAGAATGTTTGCTTGCACCGTGGGCGCGCGCTGCGCATGACGCACGCGAACTGGGTTGCGCCGGCCGCGCTCGCCCCCTCGAGACTGATGCACGCGCGACGCGAAGGCCCCATGGGAAGAAAATGCCCGCGGGCATATCAATCCGCGCTCGCCCGCCAACGCGCGCGCAAATGCGGCGGGGCCCCCTTCCGTCGGAGGCCCCATTGCCCGAGCTGGCCCTGGAGGGCGGCGAAAGTACGCAGTCTCTCCCTCCGAGAGGATGGTTGCCTTAAAAATCGAAGGGTCCACCGCGAGCAGCGCGCCCCGCGCCTCGTCGCTGCGAGAAAGAGCAACATACCTATGCGACCACCCTGCGGGCGATAGGGAGGTTCGGGGGGGGGGGGGGGAGCGTCTCACTCGATCGGTCCCACTATCGATCTCACTATCGATCTCACTGTCGGTCTCGCAAAATCGATCTCACTCGATCGATCTCACAATCGATATCAGTCGATCTGTTTCATTCGATCGATCTCACAATCGATCTGACTATCGATCTCACAATCGATCCCCCTGTCGATCTCACTATCGATATCACAATCAATCTCACACTCGGTCTCACGACCGATCTCACTATCGATATCACAATCGAAATCACAATCAGTGCCATCATCTGCATAATCAACATCATCGCCATCAACGTCAACATCATCATCGTCATCATCGGGACGCCATCATCACCATCATCACGTCATCACCATCACCAGCCACATCAACATCATCATCACCACCATCATCATCGGGACATACTCACCACCATCATCATCATAAACATCATCATCATCGCAACACCGTCACCATCAGCAGCAGCATCGGGAAAAAAACCCAATGATCATCATCAGCTCGTCACCATCAGCATGGACAACATCATCAATATCATCACCGGGACACCATCATCATCATCAGCAGCAACATCATCATCATCATCATCGGGGCACCATCATCATCGTCACCATCATCATCGCCATCATCATCATCGGGACACCACCATCATAATCAGCAACATCAGAATCGTCATCATCGGGTCACCATCATCAAAATCATCATCACCACCTCATCCTCATCCTCATCAGCAGCATCATTATCATCATCATCGGGACACAATCACCGCCATCATCATCAGCATAGTCACCACCATCATCATCGGAACGCCATCATCATCACCACCACCACCATCAACAGCATCATCATCAACCTCAGCATCACCATCATCATCGGGACACCATCATCATCAGCATCCTAATTATCATCATCTCATCATCATAAATATAATCAGGGTCATCGCCATCATCATCAACGCCATTATCATCATCAGCTACATAAGCATCACAAGCATCAGAATCATCATCATGATCGGGATATCATCATCACCACCATGGCCATCATCATCACCATACTCATCATAAACATCGCCAACACCAGCATCATCATCATCGGAACACCATCATCATCACCACCATCACCACTATCAGCATCAAAATCAACGACACCATTATCATCATCATCATCATCATCATCATCATCGGGACACCGACGGGACACTGGCGGGACACCGGCGGGACGCCGCGCGCCACCAGCCCCCGGAAAGGAAACATTTGGTCCGGCCGCGCCTCAGCCGGAGGCGGGGCACCGGCGGGGCACCGCGCCCCGCCGGCCCCCGGAAAAGAAACATGCGGTCCGGCCGCGCCTCAGCCGGGGGAAACTTTCCTCTCGCCCGCCCGCGCAGCTTCGCCTCGCCCGCGCGCGCGGCGCGCGCGAACACGAAACCGAAACCGATTTCCCGGTAGGGGGGCTCTCCTTTCCACTTCGACCTCGCCCCCCCGCCTCCGATGGATAGCCCCATTCCCTCCATCTCTCATGGAAATCGCCCGCCCCACTAATGCAAGCCAGACTCCACGGACCAATCTCTACTTGGTGCGCAAGAGGCGGGGCTCGTCGAGCGAGGTGTCCACGAGGGCCCAGGGCTGGCGGGCCAGTGCCCAGGGGCCCCCAAAGAGCCGCGATGACCCGAGCGCGGGCTTTGGGATCTCGAACCAACTTCTGGGCCCAGGCGAACCTTCGGGAAGCCTGCGCGCACCTAGTAGGGATGGTCTTCCACTTTCTACGAAGAGCAGCGCGTGGCAGGCTCGCAGGGCGCGCCCCCGTCCAATCGGTGGCCTTCCCTCGCTCGAGCGTGCGCAGATACTTGGCAATGATGCTACCTATATGGTCAATCACCTCTGCCGTGAAAATGCAGGGCTCATTCGCCGATGAACCCGCTTCGATAGCGCGCCCTTGGAATGCTAGGATCTTAAACCTACTCGAAATCTTGCCACTCCAAATGCCCATTTTTGCCAATTCACTTTTCATTGCCAACTGTCTATATTGAAATTATTCCATAGTAGCTAGATCCAAAACGTGGCGACCTCCAAGATACCGAGTCCATGCTAGCATCTTCCCCTTCCGTGGTCAATTATCCGAAACGTGTTGTTTCTTGTTGGTTGTGAAAGCTAGGAAGGACTTCCCTCTTCCCCGCATGTTGTAGCAATCCTACTTCTCGAAGGGCGACACTTAGGTGGGCGTCGCTCTGGTTCATGAGAAGGTGGGCCCCTCCAGCCTCTCCACTCGGCACAGGTGACTCATCGAAGATGT